GATAGACTGTCGAAGAAGTTTCTTGAAAATCCTGCTAGCTTTCAATTCCTATAGAATAGCATTCCTTCTGACAAAATTAAATGCATAACAAAAATGTTGATATTTTAAGTTCAATTCCAATTTCGAAAAACAGAATATATTAAAGTCAGATTACGATCATAAAGGAAATAATTTATTATAACAACTCTTTTTTTAGCAAAAATATTGTTATACTTGTTATTGATCTTAAAACGTTGATGTCAGAATATAAATTTTATGTTACGTATATTAATAATTTAATTATATTATTAATTAAGAAAATAATTAATTAATATATTTATCAGGAAAATACTGTACAGAAGTTAAACACTAGCAACATTTTCGAGAAACTCTCTTTGGAAAATTATACACTGAGAAAAAAATGTTCTGGATTTTAGTAAATATTAGTTTGGATACACACACACACACACACACACACACACACAACTGTGACTTCATTTACTAAATTAAAGAAAATTTTCCTTTTTGTTAGTATATTTTTTTCCTAGTAAATACACATACTAATAAAAAGGAAAAATTTTCTTCATTTTAGTAAATGGAGTCACAGTTATATGCAAACTAATATTTACTAAAATCCGGAATATTTTTTTCTCAGTGTACGTTTGTTAAATTTTTTATTTGAGAAAGGAATTTAAAAAGCGTTCATCAAGACTCTCTCTCTCTCTTTGATATCTCGGAATTCTAAAACTCAATCTTCATTAATTTACCGACGCGGACGGAATGATTACTGACCATAGATTTTAATATCTTTCTCAACCTATCCTAAAACTATGTTCATATATATTAAGTATTTTTAGCACAGTTTTATTAGTCTCACTGTCATTAAAATTTTGACAAAAATTTCGTATCTAATTATTATTAAATAATAAATTATGTATAATATTACGCATATGTAGAATACACCGTTGGTAAGCACAATGTTGATAAAATAGTTTCTGAAATTCATGTTCATAAATTGACTTCATGTTTAATTTATAAACGATGAAGATAGATTTTTATAAAATTGTTGAAAAATTGAATGTTTTGCAAGAGATCTATACATTTTAAAGTAATAAATTTTTTTCTAAGTTTCTTCTACTTTCTTCAAACGTTTATAAAACTTAAAACTAAATAAAACAGGAAAAAGTGGGATGCTTTCGTCACAATTTTACAAAATTCTAAAAAATACATAATAACTAAAAAATTATTTAGCTTGTATTTGCTTAAGGATACACCCGGTAGATGACAGCACAAATACCGTATAGGACTCCATGCATGCTCGTAATGGACTTGAGAGAGTTCTATCGTTTCGCGTGAAAAAAAAACAAAAACTCTTGAAAGTTATTTAATTTTTATATAGTTTAAACAAGAGAACATTTTTTTACACAACTAATTTTATGACAAACTTAGACTAACTTAAAATAATTTTAAAATTTATTTAATATATCCAGTAAACATATTTATATAACATCGTTAATGTCAAATATAAAAAAAAACTATACCTACTAATCAAGTTTTGTTATGCAAACCGATTTTTTCTTCTAACATGAATTGTCTCATAAATACAATGTTTAATTTTGTTAATGCATTTTATATTGTGTATAATCGTTATTTCGTACTGTCATGTCAAGTATCGATTTCTCATCGAAAATTAATTAGGCGCGCGACAAACTGGCGTCGCTCAAAGAAATTAAACCTGATCTTGTTATAGAAGTGAAGTATCGGTGGCTCGATCGAGTGGATCGATCGGATCGATCGAAATAAACGAGCCGAGCCAATCACTCATCTAACAAGCCGCAGGCGATACGTAAATTGATGTATATCTGTCATTTGGACATGTTAACAAAAATAGCAGAAACTTTCTTTTCGAGGTGCAATTCGATCCCGCTGTGGCGCCTAGCCGAATATTTACTTGCTCTCTTTCAAGAGCATAAAGAAATCTCTTACGACATATTACAAATTGATGTAAAATTCGCTTGCGTTTCATTCGGATAGGCGCTTTCTTATTCTTTTAAGGATGTCTGTCCCTTTTGGGATTAATATAGCATTACATACTTTCTCCTTCCTTCTTCGTTATTTCTCTTGACATATTCCTATATTTTCTATCTCAGTTTACTATTTTACTAATGCGCTAATAAATAAAAAACTTATGTATGCTTCATTAAAACCATATGTCTATTGCTTAGAAACACATACATGTATAAATATGTATTGATAATAATCCCATTATTTGTTAAATTTTTCGTTATTTAAAACAGGTGTTACAAATTGACATAAAATAATATTTTAAAAACATTATTATTATCTATCTCGTCTAACAATTGTGTTTTTATTGTCTTAAATTATTGAATACAATGTGGGCTTTAAAGAATACTAATTTTGATTCTGAAAGAATACTTCTTGCCACAGAACGATTAAGAAAGCTTCGTAGATCGCTGCAATTTATAGCCTTTGCAGCGACATTCGCAAACACAATCGCTTGAGGCATTAAAGAAATGTATTCAAGGAATACAAATTATATATATGTCGGAGAGTTTTTCTTCTTATTCATTTCTTTCTCATTCTTTTCTCAATTATCAGCTACATTCAACATGTATTGATGATTTTCTATCGAGTATATTATTTTTAATGAAAAATGACATAATTTTAAATTCTTAGTACCTATTAAGTTTGCTACTATTTCTCATGTTTATATATATATTCGTCAGTTTCTTATATTTCATACATATTGTTCGCAAGTTACTACCACGAGAGGACTTGAAGTTGTCGAAACTCCGATGACTATTCCACGATCTGCGCATAATGATAACCGATTCGGATTGAAGATCGTTCGCTCATGTAATAGCCGCGGAAATTCTGCTGGCGTTTATTTATTGCGAGATTCATGCTTTTCTTTTATTTGTCAATTTTTTTGTGTTTGAGACTGCGCGTGAAACCTGCCGTTGTTCGCATCGGCCAGCGTGTCGGGCGAAACGACCAGTTCTTCTCTCAAAAGAGTAAAACGAAAAAAAAGGAGTTTACCGCGATTTTCACGGCCGCCGAGAGAGACACCGGTCCCGCGATTTCTTTCATGTGACACGGAGACAAAACGAAACGGGCGATAGGGCACCGCCGTAGGAGCCAGCCAGCAGGGTGCCATGGCATTCTTGAACACAAGGTGCTGTAGGAGTCCGTGTCTTTACTTTCACTGCTCGCGGTCTGATCTAAGATATGTTGTCGCTCGCGGCAACATCATTTTGCATCCCGAAGGGCTGTCAGGATGGCCAAACGCGGCCACGAGCCAACACGGGAGAATAACAATCGAGTAATTTATGAATCTCGATCGACTAGATATAATAGCGTAATCGTTTTCGATCGCGATCGGTCTGTTCCGGCGTCCAGCCGGACAATACCTTTGCCGTTCGCATCGGCGACAAGACCGTCCATTGGAATTTGAATTTACATCGCGCTGGGCGAAGACGAGCTCACAGATTCCAGCGTGGCATAAATTTCGCGAAACGTGTGTGTGCGGCGCCGGCAATCGAGATAGTGAGGATGACAGAGAGAGTGAGACGGGGGAACATTGAAAAGAAGTAACAAGTGGGTATGCGGCGCCGATCGTCTTCTAAACCGCAGATGAAAGGGAAAGGAAGAATTACAGGAGGAGCTGTACGCCTCCGTCTCCTCGAGATTCGATCGCGGATGGCGGAGTAAGAGTGAGAGAAAGAGATGGAAAAAAAGAGAAGAAAAAAAAGATTGATATTCGATTATTCCTCTCAGAGATTTCACGGAAGACTAATTCTGCCTGGTGCACATCCCCCTATAATCTACAGAATCATTAATTATCTCTATTCATCAGAATATTATTTTATTAGATAATATTATTATATAATATAAGATAATATTACTTTTTTAGTTATATTAAATATATCCATTAATTATATCTATAGACTTATGTTATGAGCATCAGCATCATTGCTGCCTCGTCTCTTGAGATGTTACTTCTTACTGCATTCGCCTTTATATGTAACATCTCATATTTTTTGCACTTTAATAAAATTATTATTTAAATTACGCAGTTATTAATTACTTAATAACATTATGCAAAAAGCGGTATAATATTTCTGAGTAAAATATTTTTATATATAAATTTGAATAACGCGCACGTCTAAATGCGATATCTTTCTTGTTGCGATGTATTGTAGCATGGCGTAATACATTTTAATTAAATAACCAAAGTTAAATGCACGTCGATTTCGATGATTGCTTGAAAATGCCATTTATAATACTGCATTTCGGGAGAAACAGTTAGTATTTCTTATCCAGAATTGCAGAATATTTATCTGAGATTTATCACGCGTTACGTATAAACTTTTGCGAAATAAAATAATACCTTCGAAAATATTGTCGCGTCAATGTATCGGGCAACGTGCATCGCCATCGCCGGCATATATGGCAAATGTTCTGCAATCGAAATGTGAAAAGGTGCGCCATATTGCCCAAGACTGTCGACTCCTCTCCAAATCTTTTAATGCTACTTGTTTAATACTCTAATATTAAAATATTCAGTGAAAATGGCTATGTCCAAAAAAAATTTCCGATTACTAAAATACAAAGACTACTACGCAATAAATATGCAAGGTATCTTGCATTTTGATTTTATTGCATCGTCATATTAATATTCATCCTCTAAACATATCAATGGATTGTAGTGAGCTTAAAAGGTAACAAGTATAAGTATATAAAGCGAGTAAGTGATCTACCACTCAAGACTTGTTGGCTTTGTGCGAAAGCTAGCGTAAAAGCTCCGGGTACTCGCGACATTGCACACGTATTGTGCGACGTAAGGGGGTGAGTGTGCGGCGTATCAGATATCGGGGGTACCGCACATACGCTATCGCGAACGGCTTTAGCACGGGTGGTTGCTGGCAGAGTGAGAGTGCCATATATATAGAGAGAAGGGGAAACTCGACTCAGCACTCCAAAGTACACAGCCTCCGCGATTGCAGTGGTGTGCTCTTTCGGCTTCCTTCCACCAGGTTGTCGCCTGATATCCATTCCCTCGCGGGCCTCGCGCCAGTGGTAACAGTCGGCCACAGACCGGTGGTTTCCGCACATTCGCAAGCCTCAGAAGGGCATTCGCAGAGGACCAACAGAATCCGCCCTAGGCCGCCGACACCATGAAACTTACGCTGTTCACGTGAGTACGCCGTCGACGGCTCACAATCCCGTGTTCACCGAGAATCACCGATTGGTTCAGTGCGAAAATGAAATCCATAATTTATAAGGTTCTCGACTTCGCAATTTAAAGAGAATCTTTACAAGGTATGGATCTATTCATTTTCGCATAGACCTCATCGATTTCTTCTTCGATTCCAACTACTTTCATAATAACGAAATCGCAATCATGCCTCACTTTGACAGAGAATTGCATGCTTATACAACAAACTTGTCTATTTTCCTCGTCGAGCGTTTATGAGAGCAGGTGGCAAATTCTTTTGTAATCTTAGGGGTATAACGCGTTTGAAAGAATTAAGAAATAAATTACCCACTTGCAGTAATCGAGAAGCGAGATGGATTTACTTACGTGTATTACATTGTTCAGCAATAATAAGCGATTGGAATAAGAAAGGGTTAATGACACTTAACAATTTAATCGTTCGCCCTTATAAAACACGATCGTGGATTATTCGCAGATCACTATTAAGACAACCTGAACAATTTCAAGGCCGGTTACACATTCATGACTGAAAGGTATATATGTACGTTACCCGTATACGTCGTTTCAGGCTTAATATCTGTCATCCTGTTACCTGTAATCAAAATTGCTAACGCCTGCGGAAATTGCGGCTGCCCAGCGTCGATAACTTTCGATCGCGGATTTATGACGCTTAATAGCCAATATATCCTGGATCGTTTAGCATGGTGTTTCCACACGGATTGAGGATAACGCATACCGGTTGTCGACCATAAAACACATGCCCTGACTCTATAAGAAGTTATTCAATCACCGCGTTTTATAAACCGCGTCGCCTATTGATTACTTCACGCTACGCTCCCGTTCGACGACATTTCGATCGGATTCATACTCAGGCGGCTGCAAGCCGAGTATTAATAACGGGATGCAGAGAGGCACGTTATGCAAACGAACGACTGCAGTAGCTGCTTGGAGTCCTTTCCTGGTTCTGACCAGGAAACTGAGTAGAAAAGTCGTAACGACAGTGAGAGCGCATAACAGCGATTATTATTGAAATTGATTAATAAATACATGTCCGTTTAATCGAGAAGAAATTCGTATAAATATCACCGCTGCTTCTCCTTGACATTATACTAATGAGCGTAGTAATGTGTCTTCGTTCCTGTGTTACAAGTCGGCGTAAAAAAAAAACTGAAAGAGACATTTATTACTTATATTTTAATGTTTCTCCTGAAGCAACTTTTCTTAAGCACGTAATAAAAATGCTGCGTATAAATTCATATTATAGTCAAAGAAATGAGAAGATTCGAATAAAAAATACTAAAACAAACCGAGAGACATACAGAAAATAAAGCAAAGGAAGAGAAAAGAAAAGAAACTAAAAGTTGAACTTCAAGAAAAGAAAGAAAAGAAAATATAAAAAAAGAGAAAATCAAAAATAATATTATATCTCAGTTTACACAAAACATTTGTTATTTAATCAATTGTATTTTAAATAAAATTAAATTCCGTTTCAATTTTTCTGTAAAAAAAAGTTTGAAGCATTCCTTTCATAGAAGAAATGTATTCGTTGAAGTTGACGATAATCACTTTGATTAAAATTTCATTGAAACTTGTATTGCAGAGATTTACGATTCCATCTTCAACTTGTGTGACAAACATAATAAATCTTTTCCACCAAACTAAAAAAAAAGATGTGTAAAGAGACAAGCTAAAATGTCAAGAAATGCTAAAATATTAGAAAGAACACAATGGCGAGAGGAAGATGAGAAATATAAAAGGTGACAAGGTTTTTTATGCAGGACAAGAGCCCACGCACAAACGCTAACGGCATCCTGCAGGCGGAATATAATGCAAATGTAATCGCTTCCTTCCAAGGCGAAGTTCTATAGCAAGTTCAGTGATCCCGCGTCACGGCGCGAAGTAATCGGATGGACGATAAATTACTTCGCGAGATATAAATCAAGATTTGCGTACGTCGAGAGGTATTATGCCCTAACGCGAAAATTCCGCATTCGGACAGTTTCGCAGTCCCCCGCATACAACGAGGATTATGCTCATTAATTACGCCGAGTGGCTATTCTCGTTTACCGGTGAACCGGTTCGCTGTTAAAGAGAAAAAGTTAGATCACAGATTCCACAGGTGGGTAAATCAATTGCACGAATATGACTTCTTTTGTGTTTCATTTTAACTTTCCACTACGACCTCTGTATCAATTATTGTCACTTCGTATCCTCGAAACATTTTTTTTTAACCGCAAAAAACTCCGTCCTTCTTTTGCTGCAAAAACATTTATGCATTCTCGAAATAGAGTTCTTGGCTGATAATAATGATAGTAATCACACAACATTTCTTATTACTTTATTAAAATAAAATCTTAAATTAGATATCAGAAAAATGGTAAAGAAAAATAAGACACGATTTCAAGAAGTTAAGAAATTACGACGATTCTAATGAGAATCAACCAACGTGAATCAATCAGTGAGCATCACCGCATTACCATTTATATTATGACATAAAATGGACTTAAACATGTCATGAATGCAATTCTACATCTCGTTAATAATAATGAATCGGTAAGTTAATGGCTGCAACTTCCCTGCTGATTTAAATTAGATGCCTTCTATTGTTCAGCAATTCATCATCAAAGTTATTTGAAATATTTTTCTATGTCAAATTAAAACAGAACCCAGGATTAATAATAAATAATTTTAATATTTGAAACTTCTAATTGCTATGTATGCCAGAAAGTTGCAAGTTTTTTGCAATAATGCGAAATTTAATATGATATTAATCAAATTCGATTGTGCGCAATATATTTTTTATAAATACATATTTAAATAAAAGGAATAATTAATAAAATATTTTTAAAAAATAATTGCAATCTACCTGCAGAATTATGGAATTTTAAAAGCAAAAGTAGAACAAAAAAATAAGTCCAAAGATAACAACAAAATTAAACTTAATCTTCAATGCTTATACTTTAATTAAAATGTACGGATTGTGTTACTCTAATCCCGTTAAGCGTAGACGGCAAATGTCCTTGCTAACGGTAAAAGCATGGTATCGCGTGATGAATAATGAGCAACAACGCTCCGTTTCGAAGAACTCAGGAGTCGGATTTTTATCTCCGACACAGAGAGAATATTCATCTAGAATATTAATGAAGCGCCAGCTAATGCATCCACAATACAAGAATATTCATCGGAGACGTTATCAAGGCACACTTTGATAAATGATACGCGATATTTTCAATTAACTTCGCATACAGAGAACAGGCAGCGAAACAATTTTTATTCTTCAGAGTGTGTCCTCTCAGCAAGGAGCTTGATCATTACTCGCGAATAAAGGACTTCTGTGCAGTGAGGTAATAGTGATTATAGCCAGAAGCATAAAGAAACTGTTAAAGTGTAACCTTTAAAAGAGAATGAGAAGCTCGAAACTGTGAAAGTAAAAAAGGACACTTAGCTCCAAAACGGTGAAAATGTTGATATTAGCTGCGAGACTCATGCTTGTCACCGGATAAAAAATACTACTGTCCGGACAAATGGCATTTCCAAAAATTAATATATGTCAATATTACTTATAAAAATATTGTATACAGATAATAGTATAATAAATGTGTAAACTGTGTTGTTATGCTTAAAGTACATTCTATTCGCGATCTTACATCGTTCAACCCACTATTACTATTTATACTGGACCCACATTGAAATTCGCGTATAGTTTACAAAGTTTTACAGACGTATTAAAACCTCCTTGAAATTTGTTAACAGCGCTCGTCGTAAAACGTTATACAAGGTAATCTTGAGAAATTTTGGCAAAATTATCATATCGCAGACGCTATTTGATCAATAGATGCATCTGGGAATCTGCTTACGAATTCTGCACGAGCAATGGCCAAGTTTGGACGTGTTGTAATATATCCTAAAATGTCTGTTGGGAATTGAGGACGCGAATACAACGGCACTGTAAATGTCGACTATCTGTGCGGAATTATTTATGTTATATTTTAATGCGAAAGTACGAAATTTTTTGATAAATCTCGCGAATCATTATATAAAAATGTTTATCCGAATTATTTCAATATAGATACTATATAAAAAATAATTTATTTTCTATAAGTATCTTGCAAAGAATTCAAGTACGTCTTAACCTGATCATTACGTCCCACGTGCCAATTTATCTATGTGAGCACGAGTATAATTAATGAATGAAAAGATAAATGGATGAATTAATTTCAAACGTAAATCAACTCTGATCGATAATTACCATCTCGCACTCGATGACTGAAGAAATAAAATTATATAATATAACTTACACAGTTTTCGATCTGGATTCATATAAAGTAAACTCGGGTAAGATGGTCATAGAGGAAAGATGGCCAACACATGTTCATTCGATGTTTCATGATGAGCTAGATTGAAAGAACATAGGTTGGCCATCTTTCCTCTATGACCGAGTTTACCCTACAAGTAGCAGAATTATCTCCTGATATATTGCAGGATATTAAAACTTAAAAATTACTATATTAAAGAATATTTAGGTTTAAAGAAACGACACGTTTTCTTTTTTCAAACAATAACAAATTGTCATCCGATTATCTTCTAGTGTCAAAGATGTCGTCATTGTTCTCGTTCCAATTCGCGTTTCGAATTCGTGCTTTCGCAATCGTCCAGCATGCGTATTCCTGCGGCGATCTATCGATCGAGATCGCCGGACTCGTCGACTCCCGCGGATCCCTCGAAATTTCTCCCCCTTTCTTTACTCGAGGCCCCGAGTTCGGCTGGTTTTCTTGACATTTGTGAGCCGCCTCACGTATGAATGTCCCGTCGTAACGGCGCGGCCAATCCTGAGCGCCATGGCGCGCGAGTTGCACGAGAACCGCGCAGAGAAAGTGAGTCCCGTGTACGTGAATGTCACAGGTCAACATCCACCTGGTATACGCGGATCTACTACGAGCGAACGCGAACGCGAACGCGACATGCGAACGAGCGGGCAGCGCGCCGCGCCGCGCCGAGCGTACGTAATAATCGTTGCAACTCACGTCGTGAGTAGGATCTTTTGTCCTCGGATTCCTTTTTCGATCCTGGCGAAAGTTGCGACCGGACAACCGTCCTGCGTATGTCCTGGCGCAAAACTCGCGTATGTGAATTCGTTCGACGCTTCGACCCATTTTCGTTTCAAATAAGAAATAGAAACTCGACTCGCTGGCTTC